TACTAAAAATTTAATTTTTGGATTTGTAAGAAAACGATAAATTTTAATTATATGAGCGTTCAATATTCTTCTGTTTTCATCTCTTTTCGAGATTTTACAAGTCTAAAATAATGAGATATAACTTACAAGTTTCAGAATACTGCTTCTCACTCACTTTTCCCTATGAAAGTAAGGAGGATCTCTAAGAATCATGCACAATAGATCAGCACAACCCATTAACATAGCCACCCTCACCAACAACAACGCTGCAAAGACCGAATTCCTTAAACAATATCTTCTATGCTGATGTGAGCAACACCCGTAAAAGACCCAAACGAACAAATGAAACAAAAAGCAAAAAAACCACTCCAACACAGTTCTAATTTTACCAGCAGTGTCCTAGTTCCATCAATTCCGGAATTTTGCTCTTACCACGAGAATTTTTCTGTTATCGTAAGAATTTTCCCCTTGACTAAAAGCCTAATATAGTACACAAATCACAAGCAGAAAGAATTCTCGAAATTCCGGAATTTTCCCTCCCTCCAATTTCGTTTCCTTTCACGAGAATTTCAGTCTACCGCACGAGAAGTTTAGTTATGAAAGAAGCAAGAACAGCAAAGCGAATTTTAGTCTTCTACACGAGAATTACAGTCACTACCACGAGAATTCTACTTGTGTAAGAGGAACTGGGAACATCCCTAATACATTCTTCACGAGAATTTTACTTTTCCACAGGAATTTCGAGAATTTCCACGAGAATTTTAATCTGTGTACACGAGAATTTTAGTCACTTAGACGAGAATTCTACTTGTGTAGTACACACTGTTTAATAGAAAAGGCAGAGGTTGAAGTGGGCGGGGAGGGGAGGGATGGGTGAGGCTGTGATAAATTCCTTCAGGTACAATATGAACTTTATCGCCGGTGGGTGCCGCGGCATTTCACGAACATTCCGAATTTCATAACATAGGACTCGTATTTTAACGCAGCTTCAATTCGAGCTCACTCCACAAATCAAGTTCAGAACCTAACCCACGGAGAATTCTCGAACTAGAGACTAAAATTCTCGTGGTAATTCTCAGAATTCCCGTGCGAAAGTAAAATTCTCGTGGAAAGTGTCTCCAAGATATTCTCAATTTCTGTGATAGCAGGAAAAATCTCGTGCAAGAGACTAAATTTCTCGTGTCACAGACTAAAATTCTCCCGGTAATTCTCAGAATTCCCGTGTGAAAGTAACATTCCCCTGGAGACTGTCTCCGGGGTATTCTCGATCCCTGTGATAGAAGTTAAATTCTCGTGCAAGAGCCTAGAATTCTCCTGGAGAATCTGTCAGCCATATTCTCAATTCCTGCGATGCAAGTAAAATTCTCCTGCAAGAGACTAGAATTCTCGTGGTAATTCTCAGAATTCCCGTGTGAAACTAAAATTCACGAGGAGAGTATGTGAGGGATATTCTCAATCCCTGTGATGGAAGTAAAATTCTCGTGCAATTCTCAGCATTCCCGTGTGAAAGTAAAATTCTCGTGGAGAGTGTCTCCGGGATATTCTCAAACACTGCGACAAAAGTAAAATTCTCGTGCAAGAGACTAAAGTTCTCGTGGAGAATCTCTCCGCGATATTCTCAATTCCTATGCTAGGAGTAAAATTCTCATTGAGAGTGTCTCCGGGATATTCTCAATCACTGCGATAGAAGTAAAGGTCTCGTGCAAGAGTAAAGATCTCGTGGTAATCCTCAGAATTCCCGTGTGAAACTAAAATTCACGAGGAGAGTATGTGAGGGAAAATCTCAATCCCTGTGATGGAAGTAAAATTGTCGTGCAAGGGATTAAAATTCTCGTGGCAATTCTCAGAATCCCCGTGTGAAAGTAAAACTCTCGAGGAGAGTGTATCCGGGATATTCTCAATTGCTCTGATAGAAGTGAAATTCTGGCGCAAGAGACTAAAATTCTCTTGGAGAGTGTCTCCGGGACATTCTCAATTCTTGTGATAGAAGTAAAATTCTCGTGGAGAATGTGCCCGAGGTATTCTCACTTCGTGTGATACACGTAAAATTCACGTGCAAGAGACTAAAATTCTCCCGGTAATTCTCAGAATTCCAGCACGAAACTAAAATTCTCGTGGAGAGTGTCTCCCGGATATTCCCAATTCGTGTGATACAAGTAAAATTCTCCTCCAAGAGACTAAAATTCTCCTGATAATTCTCACAATTCCCGTTGTGAAACTAAAATTACCGTGGACAGTATCCCGGGATATTCTGCATTCCTGTCATAGAACCAAAATTCTCGTGCATGAGATTAAAATTCTCGTGGTAAATCTCAGAATTCCCGCGTGAAACGAAAATTCTCGCGGAGAGTATGCCCGGGATATTCTAAATTCGTGTGATAGAAGTAAAATTCTCGTGCAAGAGACTAAAATTCTCGTGTAATTCTCAAAATTCCCGTGTGAAAGTAAAATTCTCGTGGAGAGTGTCTCCGGGATATTCTCGATCACTGCGACAGAAGTAAAAGTCTCGTGCAAGAGACTAAAATTCTCGTGGGGAGTGTCTCCGGGATATTGTCCATTCCTCTGATTGAAGTAAAATTCTCGTGGTAAATCGCAGAATTCCCGTGTGAAAGTGGAATTCCGTGGAGAGTGTCTCCGGGATATTCCCAATTCCTTCGATAGAAGTGAAATTCTCGGGCAAGAGACTAAAATTCTCCTGGTAGTTCTCAGGATTCCAGTGTGAAAGTAAAATTCTCGTGGAGAGTGTCTCCGGGATAATCTCAATCTTTGTGATAGAAATGGAATTCTCGTGCAAGAGACTAGAATTCTCGGTGTAATTGTCAGAATTGACGCGTGAAACTGAAATTCTCGTGATAGTTCTCAAAATTCCCGTGTGAAAGCAAAATTCTCGTGGTGAGTGTCTCCGGGATCTTCTCAATTCCCGTGATAGAAGTGAAACTGTCGTGCAAGACACTAAAATTCTCACGGGGAGTGTCTCCGTGATATTCTCAATTTTTGTGATAGAAGAGAAATTCCCGTGCAAGAGACTAGAATTCTCGTGGTAATTCTCAGGATTCCCGCGTGAAAGTGAAATTCTCGTAGAGAGTGTCTCCGGGATACTCTCAATCCCTGTGCTGGAAATGAAATTCTCGTGCAAGAGACTAGAATTCTCGGTGTAATTCTCAGAATTGACGCGTGAAACTGAAATTCTCGTGGTAGTTCTCAGGATTCCAGTGTGAAAGCAAAACTCTCGTGGAAGATACTAATATTCTCGTGTACAGTGTCTCCTGGATATTCTCAACTCTTGTGATAGAAGTAGAATTCTCGTGTTAATTCTCAAAGTTCCGGTGTGAAATTGAAATTCTCGTGCAGAATGTCTCCGGGACATTCTCCGTTCCTTTGATAGGAGTGAAGTTCTCGTGCAGCAGATTTGTCGTGGGAATTCTGAGAACGTCTGTGGGAAAGTAAAATTCTCAGGAAGAAAGTAACGTGGTTTATCAGAATTCCTGTGTGAGAAGGAGAGTTCTCGTGGTAAGGACTAAAATTCTCGTGGATTTTGCAAAACTCCCGAATGGATGGAAGTCGGACATCCCTCAATTTTACCGCGTCAATCATTAAGCATTTTTTATTGTTTTTGCTCGCCGACTTCAGCGGCTCCCACAACTACACTCCGCAATATACACCCTTCACTTCAGCACATGCAATTTAAGTTTGAAGCTTCTGCAATTACCTTTCTATCTTCAGATGATATCTGGTTGTCCGCAAGATAAAGCGTTGTTAATGTTCGGTTGACTTTCAATGCTTCTCCAATTGCTTTTCCACCTTCGGATGATATCGCGTTGTCCCCAATATGAAGCGTTGTTAATGTTCGGTTGACTTTCAATGCTTCTCCAATTGCTTTCCACCTTCGGATGATATCGCGTTGTCCCCAATATGAAGCGTTAACAGTGTTCGGTTGACCTTCAATGCTTCTCCAATTGCTCTTCCACCTTCAGGTGATATCTGGTTGTCCCCAATATGAAGCGTTGTTAATGTTCGGTTGACTTTCAATGCTTCTCCAATTGCTTTTCCACCTTCGGATGATATCGCGTTGTAGCTAATATTAAGTGTTGTTAATGCTTGGTTGATCTTCAAGGCTTCACCAGTTGCTTTTTCACCTTCAGATGATATCTGGTTGTCTCCAATATGAAGCGTTAACAGTGTTCGGTTGAGTTTCAACGCTTCTGCAATTGCTCTTCCACCTTCTGGTGATATCTGGTTGCCCCCAATATGAAGCGTTGTTAATGTTCGGTTGACTTTCAATGCTTCTCCAATTGCTTTTCCACCTTCAGGTGATATGTGGTTGCCCCCAATATGAAGCGTTGTTAATGTTCGGTTGACTTTCAATGCTTCTCCAACTGCTTTTCCACCTTCGGATGATATCGCGTTATAGCTAACATTAAGCGTTGTTAATGTTCGGTTGACCTTCAAGGCTTCACCAATTGCTTTTGCACCTTCGGATGATATCGCGTTATAGCTAATATTAAGCGTTGTTAATGCTTGGTTGACCTTCAATGCTTCACCAATTGCTTTTCCACCTTCAGGTGATATGTGGTTGCCCCCAATATGAAGCGTTGTTAATGTTCGGTTGACTTTCAATGCTTCTCCAACTGCTTTTCCACCTTCGGATGATATCGCGTTATAGCTAACATTAAGCGTTGTTAATGTTCGGTTGACCTTCAAGGCTTCACCAATTGCTTTTGCACCTTCGGATGATATCGCGTTATAGCTAATATTAAGCGTTGTTAATGCTTGGTTGACCTTCAATGCTTCACCAATTGCTTTTCCACCTTCAGGTGATATGTGGTTGCCCCCAATATGAAGCGTTGTTAATGTTCGGTTGACTTTCAATGCTTCTCCAATTGCTTTTGCACCTTCGGATGATATCGCGTTGTAGCTAATATTAAGCGTTGTTAATGCTTGGTTGACCTTCAAGGCTTCACCACTTGCTTTTCCACCTTCAGATGATATCTAGTTGCCCCCAATATGAAGCGTTATCAGTGTCTGGTTGACTTTCAATGCTTCTCCAATTGCTTTTCCACCTTTGGATGATATCGCGTTGTAGCTAATATTCAGTGTTGTTCTGGAATGAGAAAGAATTGTTGCTACCATTTCTTTTTCGATTTCTGATAGTCTCACATTTTGGAGATTGATTGAAAGTGATGTATCGACGTCCGCAGAAATGTCCTTATTGCCTGCTTTTGTGGTTTTTGAGTGTGGTAGCAATGTTTCTGGTGTAGCGCCCTGGGTGGAAAGTGCAGAATAACCTAATGGCGGTTGTAATAATAGAAGGGGAGGTTTTAGTTCTCGCAATTGAACAATGTTGAGTCCGGGAGCGGACTGCACTCTACCCACAACTTCGAATTGTGTTGCCGGTAAAAGAAGAATTTCATCTTCTGCTGGATAATGTGAATGCTTCTTTATCGCTTTTCCGTTCAAGCATTCAATATTAAACAGTGTTCGTGTACCTGCTTTACCAAGAAATTGTTCGGATTCTAGAACATTTAATGAAATTTAATGAATCTGCTGATTCGCCACCAAATGAACGTCTCACCCTGATGAAATTCTTGACTCAAGTTGCCATTAATGCCACGCCATACAATTCGGTTCTCTGATTTTAGTTTAAATAAACCCGTTAATAACAATTTCAGATATGGAAACCACGGCTTTAAATGCTGGCGATTTTCCAGTCGTAGTGTTTTATTTAAAATGAAATACAAACTTGCACCGTCCGCAACAGATTACATCGTATAGAGATGAATGGACGCAGATTCGTCTGGTCTAAGTCCATCCTCAGGACGACGACTGTTCTCTTTTGCTATTGCTACTTTGGTAGATATATCACTATCTAATAAGTGTGAAATATTCCTAACTGCTTCTTCTAAAGATATCAAAGGAACCTTTTGATAACCATCGATTGGCAACAACAATTTCCGTAGTTCATTCAATATATCTGAATAACGCTGATTTGGCTTTGCTTCATCGTGAACATACTCTTTTGCCATCAATGCTAAGTACAAACGTGAAGCTGTTCACAATGTGAACTGATAGTTTATCTTCTGTTGCAAACAAATCAAGGTTAAACAACATATTTGTCTTCTTACTTCATCTCTATTCGCAACATACACCGAATGCTACTTGTTTAGAAACCCATGACTCACAAGAACAAACAGAAAGAAAAGTAGGCATGCACGCAGCACGTAATAAAATCTTTACCGTTCTGCAGCCAACTAAACAGCATAGTCACAATAGGTGCAATTATGGCTCTATTGACATTTGTTTTGGCGTGTGTCTCGTTTGGACATGGAGTTAAAGATGCAGCGGTATTATTGGGATTGAAAATGCGAATGGGTGGTTTATGCACTAATTGGTGGTTTACTCTGCTGTATAAGCGCACTACTTTGTGTTTTGATTGTCATTTTGGAACGAAACAAAACGATAGGACCCGAACTACTAGTAGCAACAGAGAAGCACGTTGAGGGTAATGTTTAATTGAAAAAAGGGACTATCTGTATTTCTGTGCATCACGAATGAGCATCAAAAACGGTTAACTCTTGTTTTCTGGTTTCAAACACTTCTGGACAGACCCGGAGCTTGCTGTAGCCATTGACATTCTATACCGATGGATAGATGAGACAATTGACTGCAAGAATGTCACTATTAGACCCCTCCTAGCTGAACATAGGACTATTATTAAAAACCGTAACGCCTCGTAAAAAGTCTTTTCTCGGCCAAAAACTAAAGACATTTTCGAGTCTTGAAAGTTTTTCCTTATCGTAACAACACTAGATCTACCGAGCTGCCAAAGATGATTTCTAAAAGTATTAAGATAAACCATAAGAGTTGATTCTTATATAAGTATTAGTTAAGAATCCTATTAGTACTCTGTAAGATTCACGTAAGAATCTTACCTGATTTTTATCCAATTCTGATATAAGATTACGCAGGAAAGTGAATGGAGTTTGATAAGAGTCTTATAAGAATCTGATAAGAAAATCATAAGAATTTCATAAGAAAGTGATAAGAGGTCTTATGAACTTCTTATTACTTTCTTATGAAATTCTTGCGATCTGAAAAATGCTCAAGAAGTTAAACTACGTTAGTGGTGCATCTGAATTGTGCAGAAAAAATTTGAAAAAAATCATACGATCCGTCTAGGATTCGAACCTAGGGCCTATACGGCATGCCATGCCGTGCTCTTATCTACTGAGCAATTACGGACTATGATAATAAAGATCGTCTCACTATTACATTCTGATTAACTAGTTTCAGGTTTTTGAATTCCTTTTGTGAGTATATCGACAACTAAAGACAGAGCACTCTCGAGAGCAGAATGCAACATAAATGTCTTATAGTCAAACATTGAGTTTCTTACTGTTTCGCTGAGTAAAACGGAATCGTTAAATTACTGCTTGTCCAGAATAATTTCACAAACAGATAAAAGCTTTTCATCACTTTCTTATGAAATTCTTATGACTTTCTTATCAGATTCTTATAAGACTCTTATCAAACTCCATTCACTTTCCTGCATAATCTTATATAAATAACGTGAATCACATCGATTCACTCGGTCCATCGACTGTAAGTGGAATGAATATCGTATCGAGAATATTCTTCATTTTATTGTAACTGGATCTTGTTACTACAGAATTGAGCAGAGATGTAGTTTTCCCATTCCGGCGCAGGGACAGGATCCTAGAATCCTCGACCGCCGGAATAAATTTATGAAAATTCTACAGAATAGGTAATCATCTACGAGGAATCGGCTTTATATAAATATTCTATCTACGACTCTACGACCTTACGACTTTACGACTCAGTCGTATAGCAGTACGATCGACTTACAAAACAATGACTAATAATCCTGACAGTTCATTCACTCGACCTACAGGCAATGGAATTAGTGAATCGATGCCATTCACGTTATTTCTTTATTCTCGTGACTGTAAATCTATAGCCATTCTGAATTCCACACAGTGCTCACGCGTCCCTTCGGTCCGCGTTCGCAGCCAGGATAAGTGTTATACTTCTCTGCTACCACAGAAAACTCGAACGCATCGACCTATGTGCATCTATGTCCACC